GTGTAAATCAGATGCTTGGGTCTTCAGTTCAGCAGCTGGCTGTTTGACTTCTAACTTAACTCTCTGCTGAGTTGAAATGTGTTCTTGAGAGACACATGTGCTTAATTTCCAGATAGAAAACTATCTGCTCCGGAATCATGAGACGAGAAAATACCTTCAAGAGCAGGCCTACCGCCTCCAGCAGGGCATCGTCACCAGCACCACCCAGCAGGTAAGAGGGCCCCGGTCTCCATAGACTCATGCTGAACTGACCCTTTTAAGAGCCAGGCACAAAGGATTTCTATCGTTTGAATCATTCCTGATGGGACAGTTAAGAACCTGTTTCTGAAGATAACAGTAAATGTAAGCAGAGTTTGGAGGAGGATGTAGAGGAAGGAAAATGTAGGTTAATTCTAATGCTAAATATGCACTTTTCATTGTCGATGATTTGGTGCCTTGTAAGGTGAACCTTAGATTTCTATACAACTATTGGGAACCCTTGATTATGGATGATAAAATCTGAGGGTAATCAAATTTGCTGCTGTGGAGAATTCTGTTCCTTTTCTTTTATTCCCTCTCACTTCTGTGAGTACGAAATAAATTCCCAGAGTCTTCTGAGTAATCAGGAAGCTGTTGAATGTTAATTAACACTTGTGCTGAAGAGCAACTGAAGTGTTTTTCTCTTTTACCTTCATTCTTCTTCTCTCTGCCCACCTTTAGAATAAAAAATTAGGGAATTTTTTTCTCCAAAAGTGTTACCCAAAACCAAGGATCATAAGGTATTTGAGGAAAACCTGTAGGAAGTCAAAGAAAGAACAAGATGAACCAAACTGAGCTCAGATGCTTCAGAGTACAGCAGAGAACTTTAAAATGTATATATATTTTAGTTAGTAAGTTCAGTGGGACTTGAGAGAATATTATATCCATAAAATAGGAATTGGCTGCTATGAAAAGGAATACTCAGAGAAAAAGAAACAGTACTTAGCAATTGAAAATATGGAAACTGAAATACAGAATTAAATTAACTGGTAGGGTACAAATTAAGCTGTTTCTCTGGGAGAAAAGAGAAAAAAATGCAGTAAAAAGACAGGTAAAAAATATGAGAGAAAAGCAAGTCAAAATAGTGCATAGATTAAAAATGACCAATAGCCTTCTAACAGGAACTTCAAAATTTAAAGAGAGACAATAGAAAAAAGTTAAAAAGAGAGAAAATAATAGAAAAGCTTTCCTTATGAATCTTGGGGTTGATACGACCCACTGAAATTTATCTGAATGAATCGGTGAAGGCCCACACCTGGTCAGAACACTGAGAATAAAGGGAAAAAATCAAAGAGCTCCAGAGAGAATAAACAGGCTATCCTACCAGGGAACTAGAACCAGTTCTCAGCATCCATCTCAATTACTAGAGGCAAATGAGGTTCAGAGGGGGATTTGTTTGGAGTAAGAATTCTATATCTAGCCGTTTTATCAAACAGACATGAGTGCAGAATAAAGCCATGTTTGGACATGGACTCAGAAATTTTACCCCCCCATATTCCATATGCAAAAAGTTTTTTTTGAGGAAATTTTCCAGCATAACAAAGGAAAATAAAGTGTACAATATGAGGTATCAATAAGAAACTGTAGCAGAAATGAAACCATATAAGTCATAAAAGCGGAAAGAAAGCTTTAAAAAATTGCCGCTTGGGACAGTCTGCTTGGAGCTGCAGAATTAAAAGACATAAGATTACGTTTCTTTCTCTATGGATCCCATAATTGTAATTCTGTACCTGGCATTTTAGTGGGTTTAAAATTTTAATATCAATGTAGATAAGAAGGATTTCCATTTTCATTTGTCTCCAGGTAATTTTTACTTTCCTCTTTGATTTCTTCAGTGATCCATTGGTTTTGTAGTAGCATATTGTTTAGCCTTTATGTGTTTGTGTTTTTTGCAGTTTTTGCTTGTGGCTGACTTCTAGTCTCATACTGTTGTGGTCAGAAAAGATGCTTGATATGATTTCAGTCTTCTTAAATATATTGAGAATTGCTTTGTTGGCCTAGCACGTGATCTGTCCTAGAGAATGTTCCAAGTGCACTTGGAAAGAATGTGTATTCTGCTGCTTTGGGATAGAATGTCATTTTAAGTTTTTGTTGTTCCTTCTTCTTAAAAGAGAATGAAAGAAATGTGTCCATAATAAATGCATTATGTATAATCTTCCAAGTAGGTAAAATTATGTGAATGACTGCATAGATATGCGTAGAGATTTGTGAAAGGGTGTTCACCAAAATATTGGTTATCTCAGGTACTGTGATTAGGCGAGTATTACTCTCTTAGATTTCACAGTATTGTATTTGAATTAAAGTATTTGAATGCTTTACAGTAAGCATGTTGTATTTGTGTAAGAAAGAGTAAAGTGATATGTATTGAGAAAAAGAAAAACAGTAATTATGGATATTAGTGAAGTAACAGGGAGTTTCGAGAAAGAAAACATTATTTTGACTTTACCAGTGCCTTAAAAATCAAATTTTTTTTTTCCTGCAAGGGATTAATATTAGCTTTTAGTACTTTTTAGTTCACTGTTATTTCCTGGTTTTAGCATTTAACATCAGAAGCAATGAGAATGCTAAAATTTACAATGAACCTTTGCCTTGGGTTCCCTTATGAGTTACCATAATACAGGCTTTTCTTCCTGCATTATACAGCATCCTTCCAACTTTTTTCCTCATCTGCAGGGTTTTTGCTCATCCAAAAAATTACTGCCACAACCTTTAATGCTAATTCTTAAAAGTTAGTTTCGTCTTCTCAATCGAGAGACAATTATACACAGGAGGCATATATAGATGTTTAATTCTGCATGGGTGACATCATTCTGAATTATTTGAGTCATTATGTAGTAGATATATTGCCACCTTTTCACTTTGGGGATTTCTTAGGACATGATGATTAGCAGTTTTCAGACTTTGATTGTTTCAGTTGCCTTAGGAGAGATTTATCGCCTTCTTAGTGAAACTTCTTATTGAAGTCTCCAGAAATCTGAATACAGAAAGAATAGACCCTCTGTGACTAGTGCTCCTGCCAATCGCACAGCCAGTCATCATTCCCTGGTGACGCTGAAGGGATTAAAATATGTTTTAATGAAACATTGAAGCCTCATAATGGTTTATGTATTTGCTTTTGCCTCTTGTCTTTGTTTAGGGAAAACCTTCACAAGACTCAACACACTTCACCTCTGCTTCTGATCTCTCCTTTCCCATCTTATAAAGCCTCTTAATCAAGAGTCAGCACACTTTTTCTATAAAACCAGATAGTAAATAGGCTTTACAGCCCATTTGGTCTCTGTTGCAACCACTCAACTGTGCTGTTATAGAGCAAAAGCAGCCATAGACAATAGCTCCATGAATGAGTGTGGCTGTTCCAATAAATCTTTATTTATAAAAACAGCTCAGAATCACCTATAGTTTGCCAACCTCTGCTAAGTTTTCTCACCCTTAAAAAAAGATACTTCTGTTGCCTACAGCTGTTTACTCAGCACACTCTTTCCTTCCTTTCATGTGCAGATTTTTATACTTGCTTTCATGACTTCTTTGTCACCTTTCAGAATGTGCCCTCTGTCCCTCTTATCTCTGCTGAAATGTCTCTCAATGGTCCTGGTCACCAACTCAGAGGCCTTTTCTCCCTCTTCATCTTCATCATGATGAAAGGAGGTAGTGGATGTAGTGATTAGGAACTTGGGCTCTCAAATCAGATGACCCAGATTTAAGTACAGGCTCTGCTAAGTCCCTCTCAGTGGGAACTGATGTTAGTCACTTACTAACCTCGTTGAGGCTTGCTAAGTGGGGATGATGACTCCGAACGTGCTGTGACGATGAAATGAAATAATGTGTGCAAAGTACTTGGCTCCTCACTAGTAAACAGTATTTGTTGCTACATTTTTATTATCACGATTGACCGTCTCATCTTTTGTAAGATGCAGCTCTTGGTTTATTGGACAGTGTGCTGTTCTGAATATTTTTCTTCTGCCCTGTGTCTCCTTTCTGCACAATTCTTTCCCCTTTCATCTTCCAAATGCAATCATTTTTCAAAGTTTTGTACCTCGTGCTGGCTAATCTACCTCTACCACATTAACTCTCTTGTCTGTAGATCCTTCTTCTCAGTCTCTACTTCTTTCCAGAAAAATCCCTTTTTTCCAACTGCTTGTTCAGCATCTCCATCCAGATGGCCTTCTGAGATAGCCGGGTCACTAAGACCAAACTCAAGCCTTGGAACAACCAATTTTGACATTTCACTTAGTGACATTATCGTTCACTGAGGATAGAACTCTTGAAGTCATCTTGGATGCCTCATTTGCTTTCTTCATCCAAGGTCGCTGTGCCTTGCCCAATGACCTTCAGAGTGTCTTTTGTAGCTGTTCTTTCTGTTTCTACTGCCTGTCCTCTTGCTAAGGCTTTTTATTAACTCCTTCCTAAGCCGTCTTTTATAAGCACTGCAGGAACTAGCTTATCCATCTTCTGTGTCTCCGTGTGCTTTTAACAGCCCATTTCCCTTATATCAGGGAAGCCAAGGCGCTGGGAGTGTTACAGGGTAAGGGATTTTCAGATCCTCCCAATCGTGGGAGGATCTGGGGCAACAGATGCTCTGTGCCTTGGGTGTGGAGTTGCAACTCCTTAGCCTGTGCCTGAGTCTTACACTCTCTTGCCTTAGCTTAGCATTCCGGTCTGTCTGCCCACAGTGAAATGCCTCTGTTCCTAATCAGGAAATAGAATCACAGGTGTCTGCAAATGCCTTTGCTAATGTTTATTCTTCTGCTTACAGTTTCTTTCTTTCTTAATTTGCAGAGATCTTTCAGGACCCAGGCTAAAGCTACCTTCAGCCTTTAGCTATATGTGATCCTTCCATTGACTGAAATCCTTTAGAATTTTCTATCATTCATTTATTCACTGAATAAACACTTGTAAGGGTCTGTGATATGACAGGCACTATTGTCGGAAATGGAGGTTCGGCAGTAAACAAAATGTGCTTGTCTTCGTATTATATTTTATAAACTTCATTTATTGTTAATTGTGGATATTTCTTTTCACTTCTAGATGTTTCATCTTGCTTGGTGGTAAAGGGTGTATCTTATTCAGGACTGTATCTCATTCAGTGCTAGGTGTTGAGTATATTTCTCTTGAATTGAATAAAGAAATAGCCATGGAGGAAGATAAAATTTTCCACGAGTAAGCAATTTGCTGAAACTGGGAACATTTGTAACAAGTTGCAAATAACCAAAGATGGCATTTATTGCTAATGGTTCTAAGTCCTGCACCTGGATTCTGTTTCCCGGTATATTCGGAGAAGCCTAAGTATTCACCACTAAGTGTGATATGAGTGGTGGTGTTGCCAAAGAAGCCAGTTTGACTTACACCACATTAATGAAAGTATACTTTCTACAGTAAAAAGAGTGATAACCCTGTTGAGCTAGCCAGTCCACCATCCTCCTGTGTTACAGTCTGTTTTGTTGAGAGGGACATGTTTCATGAGGGTTCTAGACAGAAGAGAATTCAGAGAAGTGCCCTGGAGTAGAAGAGGGTAGGTAGGAGTTGGGGACCACAGAACGGTAAAAGGAACTGGCAATGTTAAACCTGAATGAAAAATTAATTAGGGAAGAAAAGATAGCTCTGTTCACAATGGGGAGGCTGTCTTGTGGAAGAGAGCTTGTGACTATGCAGGGTGTTCTCAGGTGAAGACATGGGACCTGTAGAAGGACATGGGAAGACAGATTAGGACTCAAAGAAGACCAGGTCCAAGAATGACAGTACATTTCCTTGGACGGAAGTGAGCCTCTCAAACTATGGCAGTTACCAGCTTTCCTGGGTTGCTTTAGAGAAATGGAACACTAGGAGTCAGGGTAAAGTAGGGAGTTTGAAATAGGGAGTCCCCCGCTCACAGATAAAATAAAATAGTCTAAGTACAGTCATCTACCTTGAAGGTCTTTGATGGGATAACCCAAGAGATGACAGTCGTTCCGACTGCAATCTCCTTTATATTTTTTTCACATTTGTGTGCTTAGGGAATTGATTGTGAACTGAAAGTCAAGCTCCTTGATTTCCTGTTTTCAAAATTTTCAGTGTATGCTCTGTGTAATCATTCTGTTTCATCTGAAATAGTTTAACTTTTCCGGGCCTTGAGCTCTTGAGTTGTAAAGCGTCTGAATGTGCCCCGTCGGGCTGAGCCAGATCTCCTCAAGTGTGTGTTCAGAAGAATCTGTGGGACTTGTGAGGCTTTATGGCTTATTTGAATTGGAGGACTAAATTTTTATGTTCCTTTTGGATGTGATTTTAGAAGTTGCACTTAAAGACCATTTTGTTGAGTTCATCTAAACCCTCTCTCCTAGGTGAATGCTTAATACCACCCAATTCAAGACTCTCTCCGGTCTCCCATGATTATTAAAGGCGATCAGTTTTATAGTGCTACATCCACATGCCTCTCAAATTAGTCTTTTGTGGCCTCCAGTGTATATCAGTTCCTTTCTTAATATGTGTTTCATTTTGCCTCTTGAAATTAGGTATTCATTCTTGGTGAGATATGAATAATTGATAACTATTTTTGCTTCGGGAAGGCCCGATCCATACAATAGTTAGTAGAGTTGGGATTTATATCAATTAAGAAGATTTAAAAAAACATATAGTTAGTTCTCTGCAGGGCATTGTGTAAATGCAGAAGGTTAAGATGTGATCCCTGGAGGTGGGTATAGCTCAGTGGTAGAGCACATGTGTAACATGCCTGAGGTCCTGGGTTCAGTCCCCAGTACTTCCATTATTTAAAAAAAAAAAGACATTTAAAAAAGACTAAAAAAATAATGAAAAGATGGTTCCCTGCCTACAACCTTAAATTTTAGTCAGAGAGTTGATTATTACACGAGAAGCATTATTCATGGAACTTCTTTTACCTACGGGGAGCTCCTGGTAGCTCCCTTATGTTGCCTCAATACGTTTGACAGTCACAAGAGCTGTTCTTAACAGACATTAACATTAGCATTACTGACCCTTTGTCAAGAGAGTGGTATTTTACTGGATTGTCTTCATAATACATTAGAGAAGATGATGGGATAGATGTTTGTGAACCGGATTTTATAGAAGGGAAAGGCAAGAGAGCCGGTGATGTGCTCTGTAATCAGAACTTAAGTCAGCTGGACAGTGTAGTAAAGTTTCTATTACAGTGGAATTTATGGGGGGAAGGAGAGCTGATTTTTGGCTTCCTATAGTTGTTATCAAATAAATAGACAAGTGTGAATTTGGGGGGAGGGTAATTAGGTTTATTTATCTTAATGGAGGTGCTTGGGATTGAACCCAGGACCTTGTGCATGCTAGGCATACGTCCTACCACTGAGCTATACCCTCCCCTCTAGAAGTATGAATTTAAATTAAAAAGAACATTGCTGGATTGTCACCTCTGCCAAATGAATTGTCAAATGGGGATGGTGGGGTGCTAGATTTGTAGGGTCTCTGGGGGAATTAATTTTTTTCAGAATAGATAACATTCAGCTCCGATCAAAATATTGGAGAAATTTTTTAAACCATATTGTGGTTATCTTTTTCTTCAGACATCTTAGCTTTGTTCATACTTCTCTCTATACCTGTAACTATAAAACAGCATAACCTTACCACACTTCTGTAATAGTTTTTGTCTACAATCATGATCTGCCCTTAAATCCATGGAACGACTGAAAGTGATTCAGATGTAATTAACCTGGGAGAGGGACCTTAATGGACTAGAAACTAGATGTTATTAACTTTATTATTACCTCTGCTAATGTAATAAAACCTCAGCTTGTGCTTTTTTTTTTTTGGTGAAAAATTACCTGATATAATTGAACCAATTAAAAAATATTAATTTCCAGGGATGTTCTGATTTTCATAATATTGAGACCGACTGGCCACGGGCATCATTTTGTCATCATCTCAACTGTCTTGGAATTGAACATCTCCTTTTTCTGGGTCCTCAGTACCCGGCAGTATGTCTAACACATAGAGGTTACTCAATAAAAATTAATGGAGAGTTACTATCAAGCAAAATGTCACTGAGTAGCTATGAGATTCGGAATCATAAAAAGTATTCACTTTTGTTCTACATGCTGCACTTCCTGAAGGCAGGAAAGGGGACTGAAATCCCTTAAGTGTTTGTCTGGAGTTGATGTTGCCAAAGGCTTCTTATAGGAATAGATAAATCAGTAATTGGCTGTAAGTTGCCCTCTTGAAGATTCCAGTTAGGAGACGTTTTCTTGCTCATTCACTCCGTGTTTCCTTCTGTCTGATACTGGCTGTGCTGACTCGATGCTTGCTGTCATTTTTATGGTGTGGACCAGATGATTGACAGAATATGTGTGAAAGTGCAAGATCATCTCAACTCCTTACGAACCTGTGGGGGAGATGCTGTCCAGGAAGATTTAAAGTCAGCAGAAAGGCTCATGCGTGATGCTAAGAATTCTAAAACGGTGAGTTTCACTTCAGCCTACATGAGAGTCTTATGTAATAAAAAGAATTTTTGAACTTCAGTTTTAGAAACTAGTTCTTTCTTTACCTTTTTAACCCAATTTCAAGGTTACTTACAAGTGGCAAAGTGAACTGAGTTAACCTTTGCCTCCTTTCTGTACCCATGCTAATTACCAATAATCAAAATACCATTGTCCCTCGGAATCTGCAGGGGATTGGTTCCAGGACCCTCTGCGGATACCAAAATCTGAGGATGCTCAAGTCCCTTATACATAAAATGGTATAGCACAGGTGGCCCTCCATATCCGAGGGTTCTGCATCCTCTGTATAGACTAAAAAGGCAGAGGGTCAGTGTGATTGACAAGAAGTGTAATCAGGTCCTGAGTAACTGAGAGGTAGTTGTGGTTTCAGTGAATGACAACTTATTTAAAATTATTCTACTTCCAAGTTGGCAGCATGAAACTACCCTTTGTTATCTCTGAAAGGAATCTTTTCTCACACGAGAATTTGGTCCCCAAAGTGTGACTTAGTAGAGAAAGGACTACCTGGGAGTCAGGAAATCTGGGATCTGGTTCAGGCTCTCCTATTGGAATCACACAATTATTGAATCATATGAGTAGGAGGAACCTAGTCTCATACCCCAGATGAAGACATTAAGGCACAAAGAGGGGGTAATGTACTGCTCCTATGGTTTCAAGGCTGGTCCTCAGTTTATTAATCTGTATAAAGGGTCTTTGGTTAAGAGCATCTTACATTATCCCTAATATTTCTCTACCTTTGTACTAACTGTGCCATGACTTTGATGCTCATTTAAATTGTTATTTATTATGGAGAGGTTACTTTTTTTTCCCTTACAGTTGTTACCAAATTTATACCACGTTGGTGGTGCATCTTGGGCGGGAGCCACTGGCTTGTTATCCAGTCCAATTCAGGAAACCCTGGAATCAATGGCTGGAGAAGTGACAAGAGTTGTAGATGAACAACTAAAGGTTTGTGGTTTGTTATTTTGGAAAATAAAGTTGTTATGACTTAACTATGCATGATAGTGTTTCATAGCACAGCTGCCTATATTTTATAGGGGTGCGTGTGTGTGTATTTGTTCGCAGACCTACACACACATACACAGGTAGTAAAAATTGAGTACCGTGTCTTTTTCAGCTTCATTTATAAGTTTTGGAATAACTTTTTGCCTAATGAGATCAGGTAAAACCTATCATTCAATTTCAGTTTTGATGGTAAATCTCTAAATGTGTTTAACATAGGACAGGTTGCCACTGATAAGGGAATGATTGGTTTCTGCTTAGAAAGAGAAGTCTGCTTCATGAAAAAGTATCTTGTGTTATTATATTTGATCTAGAGAACGGAAAAGATGATAGGAGCCCTGCTGACAGTGCCAAGATGCTGCTTATAAGGGGAGTTTGCCACTAGGTAAATGGACAACAGTCCTTGTAAAGAGCTAGTTGAAAGATCTGGAAAGGAATTTAGGATGAAGTTACAGGGCACCCAAAATAGCAGAGTCTTGGCTATAGGCTCACAGGCTGAAAAAATGTCTCTGAAATATAGGTGACTAGAGTAACCTTAAGACCAGCTCTTTCTTAAGGTAACTTCTAAAGACGGCGCCACCAGAGAAATTTCACTCTCAGAAAGTTTTCATCATTTCCAACTGACTATTCAAGGATACCTTAAAAAAAACCTGTCTACATTTCTGTATTTATTTGGTCTTTTTTTTTTTTTTCCTGAGAACACAGTAGCTACAGCTCAGAGGGATTTTTTTGTTCAACTCAGTAATAACTTTGCAACATGCTAATTACTGTTTATAAATTAATCAGAGAGAGAATGTTGTGGATTATTTAGGAGTTTAAGCCCGTCTTCCTGTGCATATAATGAGAGACTCTTGTGTGTCATTTTTATTGTATTTAATCATGGATATTTTGAATACATTCTGAGCAAAGACAAAGGGGTAGAGAAAAAACTAGTTGGTCGGCATAGAGTTCAGCCAGATCACTTGTTACCTGAAAGCACTTGCTTTATCTTCCATGAAGAGTGGAATATATAAAAAGGATACTTTCTTACACATTTAAAATGAAGTCATCTTTGTTGCTTATTTACTTCTGACTTTAAAAAGTGAAACTTTCTCATTATGAAACATTTAAACAATATTAATGAGTATAAAAAGATGAAAGTAAAAATTACTTGGAATCCCAGAGATAGCATCATTCTTAGTATTTAGCGAATTCCCAGACATTCTTTTCTACACTCACAATTTTACATATATGTGATCATGCTATACATAGCTCTTTTATATTTGGTACAATGTCATGAATTCAATTCTAGATCAGTGAGTAACTGTCATTTTAATGGCTACATAGTATGTCATTGTATAGATGTATCAGCATGTTGGAAAGCTCAGTCTTCCTATGCGTCTCTCTCTTACTTTCACATAGAACTCCTCACTTCTGACACTTGTGGTGATCAGATGTGAGGGGATTTTCCCCCGCTCAGCTGGGTCTCCTACCATATAACTCAATTCAGACACTGTCTACCTGGAGGTAGTGTCACATCCCACAGGGGAAGGGCTCAGTCTCACAAGATGGCCCCCACACCACTTCAGATGCCAGCTGGGAGTCCAGGTTGTCATGTGTGCTTCTGACCAGTCAGGGATAAGTTTGAGGTTCAGATTCAAGTAACTTCCTACAGTGGCTCCCAGAACTCAGGGAGAACCTTATTTATGTTTATCAGTTTATGAAAGGATCTGATAAAAGATACAGATGAACAGCCAGATGGAAGAAATGCTCAGAGCAAGGTGTATGGGAAGGGTCTCGGGGCTTCTGTGCTGTCTTAGGGTGCACCACTCTCCTAGCACGTCCATGTGTTCACCAACCCAGAAGCTCTCTGAACCCATGCTTTTAGGATTTTATGGAGGCTTCATCATGTGCGCATGATCAGTCATTAACTCCATTTTCAGCCCTCCTCAGGACAGTAGGGGGTGGGGCCAAAAATTCCTAACTTCTAACTGTGGCTTAGTCTTTCCAGGGGCCAGCCCTCATCCAGGAGCCCACCCAGAGTTACCTCAATATTACAAAATACACGCCTAACACCCAGGACATTACAAGGGTTCAGGAGCCCTGGGTCAGGAACTAGCGTCAGAGAACAAATATTAGAACAAAAGATGCTCCTAGTGTTCTTATCATTTAGGGAAATACAAGGGTTTCAGGAGCTCTGTGCCAGGAACCAAGGGCAGAGACCAAAATATATTTTCTATTATCTCACAGCCAGCATAATTTATATTCTAATTTCTGATTAATTCTTTTAGAGTAAATGCCTGTAACTGATCCATTCCTAGGTCAAAGGGTACATGAGTTTTATACTTTCACACGTGTTTGCACACTGTTCTCCAGTAGTGTACCCAATTGCTTGTTTTGCTACACCCTCACTAATATGAAATATATTCACCTTGTAATATTTGTGAGTGTAATGGGTTAAAAAAAAACTCCTTTTGTCTTTTGGATTTCTTTAATAACCAGTGATGCATCAAGTAATTTTATTATCCATTTGTATTTCTTCTTTTGTAAATTACACATTTGTATCTATGGTCTAATTTTTCCCTTTAAACTCTTTGTAAGAACTCCTTATATACCAAAAACAAGCTGGCATTTAAATCAGCATGAAACATTGCAGCAGGACTTCTCTGTCAAACAGCTTCCTACGGATACTTGTTTCAACTGGTCTAAACCACAAGTTACACAGCCTTCATACCTCTGGTCCATTTCCTTCCCAGCGCACCAGGTGGTTGGAAATGGCTCTTGCCTGTTATCGGGCGGAAGTAGAAGGCAGAGGTCTGTAGTAATAGGCATTTGACTTTTTAAAAGCCTGAAATAATATAAATATATTTAGGACCCAAAATACTTTTCTGTAAATAGACATTCCCCACATTTTTTGAGTCTGACCTTTCTGGCGCCTTGTCATTGTCACCAGTGTTCTCCATTCATCACAACTTCCTTATTTCCAAGTGTCATGGCCTGCTTTTCTCTCATTCTCACTATCTTGGATCCCAAGTGCCCTACTTTTTCTGTCTCCAACTCCTTTAGTTTTCTTTACTCTGATCCTTTTGAGTTGCAGGTTCCTTTCCCTTTGGGGATGTCTGGCATGAATCACAGCAAATCCTCAATCACAACTTCTAAATTAAATGTTACTTATTAATCTCCCTTTAACTGGGCTCACATTTAGCTTTTGATACTTTCAACAGATGACAGGCAGTCACTTCTTTTCCCTTTCCTTCCAGGTTACCTGACAAGTGAACATCATTTTATGATTTAAAAAAAAAATCCTCATTTGTCTATTTATATAGCCCTCCAGCACCCTGATTTTCTTAAAACTATGTAGGAACAAAAATATTTTTACTACAATCAATATTCAGTTTCTTATTAAGCTACTGTGGTCTTTATTTATTTCACTACTAGTATTAAATTTCTCTGGTTAAAATAGTCCTTTCTCTATTTCCCAAATTCCCTAAAATTAACATGTTATATTAGTAGAGGCTAAAGTGGAGGGATTAATTTGTAAAAATAAGTTTTTATGATAATGAATTAAAAAAAAAGAGGGGGGACTAGCAGGCCTGGATTTGTGTCCTGTGTTTGCTACCTGCTAACAGTTTGCTCCAAGCAAGTCACCTAATTTTGGGGGGACTAAGCCGCCTTGTGCAGGATCATCTTGGTCTCATGATGATTGGGAGGATTATATTCCTTAATATTTTATCATCCTGTATCATGGCCAGCAGTACATATTTTGAATATTGGATGAGAATAAGTTCAAATGGCTCTTTGAGCTTTCTTTCAAAAAATAACTAGTTCAGAAAAGCAAAAGAAGTGGCCAGAAGAGCCAGCTTCTTAGCAAACTCCCCGGAGGAGAAGAAAGCAGAAAGTTTGGAGAAATTCCTTCTTTGAAAAGCTGTGATATTTTCTCTGGACTGGCCTCTTTGGGGGTGTTTTAAAATGACAACTCCCCTACTGTTTTCCCTTTTTTGATCCTAACTTTTATTGCTGGAGTAATCATAGATGAATAAGTAGCATCTGAATGTTTTAACATAAGGAAACTTTGGTTTTTCCCTTCTGCACTTAAATTTTAGAGTGCTTGTTTTGGCCTTGAAAATTCTTCATTTCCCTCAGGGCTTCACCTGTGAAATTCTTCACTGGTAAATATCAGGCTTGTTAGGAAATGTGGCCTGAGGTGGCATTTTGGCAAGTATTAACTCAGTCTGCTTGCAAAGTTCCCTGAGTTTTCTTATTTTTCCATACTTTATATTTTTCAAAGCAAAAGAAAGATCTCAGAGCACTTGAGTGTGGAAGTTGTATTTGTTTGTAATGAATTACAGCTAGTCATTTGCTCAAGAAAATGTGAGTGTAGCTGCCATGTAAGGATATTAACCCAATTTATTTTACAAATATTGTAGAGGTTTTCTAAGTACCATTAGTTATTTTTACAGTTAAGAAACAGACCCTCATAACTCTCCTTGGGGAGATACATGCAAAATGAAATCTGATTATCCCATTTCAAGTCCAGGGCCTGCTCAGTTCACATAGTCTGAAGGTAATACACATAGACTAACAAAATGGAGATATGTAAGAAGAGTTAAGAAACATTTGGTAGAGTGAGAAAAATTAACATAAGCCTAAATTAGATTTCCAGAAGGAAAGAAAAGAGAGAACAGGAGAAGGTAACGGTTGAAGAGATGGTAGCTGAGAATTTCAGGGATTGATGAAAGACCAGAATTTTCTGATTCAAAAAGTCCAGCAAAACCCATGCAGGAAAGATAGAAGCAAATCCTGTCTTGAACCATCATAATGAGAAGTGGAAAATACAGAAGAAGAAAAGATCTTAAAAGGAGCCAGAGGAGGAAAAAGTCATATTACTTCAAAAAGACCAAAATAAATAGGAATAAATTGAAAAAAAAAAGATTTATAACACTTCAATACAAAAAAACTATAAAATTTGAATGACATTAAAGAAAATCTAAAACAAAGTGAAATATGTGTCATGTTTATGGGTAGAAGAGTCAGTCTCACTCTTTGGTTGTCAGTTTTTTCCAAACTGATCTATTACTGGATACATTTTAATAAAAATTCCAACAGGTTTTTAACAGAACTAGACAAAGCTAATTCTAAATATGGGAAAGCAGTATTCAAGGATAGGTCAGCCACTTACGAAGGACGAGAAGGCTGGCTGTCTTGCTCTACCACATATAAAGACTTATAACTAGGACAGTATGCAGAGGTAGACAAACCAATGTGACAGAGAGAGAGATCCCAGAAATGGAGCCCTGCATATATGCAAATTTTAGTAATGCCACCTTCAGGGAGGTAGCTTTGAAGGTCAGTAGAGGAAGGATGGACTGACTGTTGAGTTCCCACACTCGGTAAGTCCCTGAGCTTGTAGTACTATTTATATGTTTCCTAGAGATTGTTCCAGAAACTATGCTATGCCCTGGGGATATGGGGAATGCAGAGACCAGCAGAGGTTATTCACTTAATGCTACTCACTTACTTAACATTCCACGGAAATTTCATGTCAGGGTCTACATCGGAAGCCAGGTCTCCTCCTTTTAGTCCCGGAGTTCATTCTAACTGAATCAACTCCATCATTCGGGGAGCCCTTTCAGAAAGTCACGGATATGTTGATGAACATGACGGAATTCAAAAAGCATATTGCTACCTGAGGTCGTTCTTCTCAGCAGTGCTGGGCTGCTACTACATCTGGAACGGAATGTGTTTATTTTAATGCCAAAGAGGAAAATGATTTGTCTTAAACTGACTCATTTGGCATTGCTTGCAGCTTTCTTGGAACAATGTACAAAATCAGTGATTAGTCAGAGTTCTAATAGCGACAGAACACCGTCAAGGTATGAGTGGCTTTTGGACACTTCTCAAGTGGCTGCCTCCCACCTCTCCTTGCCTGTTTTTCACGAGATCGTTATAAACATCCTGCTGCTCTACTGCTCATCCTGCAGCGTAATGAGAGGTTTTACAGTGGGATTGTGCTTTGCATGTGAATATGTGAGCAGAGAGACCAGTGTACTTGTCTTTCCATAATGATGCTCCATTAATCCTATTCATACTGGAATAGTAACGGGATCAAGCCTGGCTTTCAAAAGCTGGTAACTTTATCTCTGATATACTGAGCTTTTATTGTATGCTGGACTCAATACTGAACACTTTACATATATCATTTAATCTTCAATAATACTATGAGGCAAGAACTTTTTTATTTGCCATTTTATAGATGAGGAAAATAAAATTGAGAGATGAGTAACTTAGCCCAGCATCACTCAGCTAGGATTCAAATTTAGGTCTGACGCTAACGTGAAAGTCCTTTCCGCACTTACTGGCTGTATCATCCATCTCAGGCAAATCGTTTAATTTCCCTTAGCTCCCATTCGTCAACTATAAAATAATGATCCCATGAAGAGCTGCTCTACTCATCTTCACAGATGTTGGAAGGAGAAAATGTGCAGAAACATTTTTAAAGCTCCGAGGTGCTTATAAGTGTGTTTGACTGTTTTTATTCATGTTTATAAAATGCTCTGTAAATATTTTTGTCTCTCATTATTCATGTTTTTTAAATTATTCTTATAACAATGATAATTTTACCTAAAATTAAAGCTCTTCTTCTGAAAGAAGAAAACTGGCAGTAGTTACTGTGGTTCGCTTGCACTGCTCTTTTGATAGAGCTATTGAATGGTTCACCGTGATTTGAGGTTTCTGTGATTTGTGAAATGGCACAAGAGTTCAAATCTGATATATTTTCTGGGGCTATCTGTCACTTTCTTTGCTGACACCAGGAGGACAATCTGGTATGGTAAATTGGTATAGATGTGTCTTTCTAAATCTTACCACGAATGCCTCTGCATTCAGTACAGTGAGTATGCCGTAACACTTCGGATGCCAGCATGAAGCTGGGGTGGACCTGCCAGTTGTCTGATTTAAAGTGATGACTTGGATCCATAATAACTCGGCAGTCACAAGTCACCCCAGGGCAGCTCAGAATCCTGGGTCGCACCGTGGGGACTCTATTGTGTCCCTGTTCTCCGAGAGCTCGGCGGCATCTGTAACCACCTTTGGGTTTTATGGTGGCGCCTCTCCCACTGTGTCTCATCTTTCTCTGTCTGCTTGTGCTGCATTGCAGGCATTGCTTGAGTCCATGGTTGATGCTGCTGAGAATCTTTGTCCCAACGTGATGAAAAAAGCCCACATTCGACAAGACTTGATTCATGCCAGCACTGAAAAGATTTCCATCCCGCGTACCTTTGTTAAAAATGTCCTGTTGGAGCAGTCTGGAATTGATATCCTTAACAAAATTAGGTGGGTTTCTAAAGCGCATAAACCGAGGAGCTGCAGTGGCTGTGAATGCAGTTGAGGCAGCTGCGAAGAGTGTAACTGTTGGTTTTATTCGAATCTAACGTGTGGAGGCTTGTCTAAGGGGCAGCCACGGTATGTAAATATAGCTGTGCATGAATGCATAGGTCTAATACATTTCCAAGATAAGATGACTAGATATATGCCTGTGTTACTGAGGCACATAGTTATCTGCTCTTTTTAAGAGTGTTTTTTTTGGGGGGGGGCACATGTGTGTAATTCCACCCCTCCTTTTTTTTTCTTGCTTCTGAAGCTTATCTTTCACCTTTATAAAGCACTAACAAATTATATATCTGCTAACTCCATACCTGGCGTTTTAAAATGCATTGTACTGAGCACTGAGAGAATGAAAATATATAGAGATGCAGGCTAAGTAGACTCTTTTCCTTTAAAAATTTTGCAAATTAGAAGTTCAATCAGTAAGGAAGGAAAGCATCCAGTAACAAAATGATAGACCAGTCTTGAGACATTAGAAAATAATTGCATTTTTAAGATTTTTTTTTTTTGGTGCTATAATTTGAAATAGATTAACTACCCCCCCCAGAGGTGGGGTGTAGAATGCGGAAGAGAAGCAAAGCACTGACTGTATAGTTTTATGAGGAAGCTGAACCCCCAAACACACCTAAAAGAATTAGAGGAAGTGCTTGTTAACATCGGATTCCCAGGCCTCGCTGGAGGTTTGGGATGGGACGTGGTTATCTGTAATTTTAATAAGAGACACAGGGGAGTCTTATCAGTGGACGCCTCTGGGGAGAAATAAAGTATTAGATAAACCAAATAGCTTCAGAGGCAAGAATTAAAGAAACAGTCTTTATCTTTAGCCCAAGAAAGCTTTTACTGTAGGCATCAGGGTTAATGCTTCCCTTCTGTCTTGCCACTGGAAATCTTCCTAAGCAGAGAGATCTCCAAATGATTGCCTTTGGGTTAGAAAGGTTTTCCCCTGTTACACAAAGATACTTTCAACTTTAGCTATAGGATTCAAAAATCTTATTTTGATAACTCCTTTCTCCGCTCTCAAATTGTTAAAATTGTTGACTTAAAAGTAGACTGAACTTCGGAGACAGGGTTGGAAGGTGGGGATACGTCTCACCAGCATGTTTACCTTTAAATATGTCGTGTATTTATGCACATTTGTGCATGTGTGCATTTAGGTAGAGTTATTTAGACTGAAGACACACACACATGGAAGTTGAGTTCTTGGAAACAGCAAAGAGCTAAAATGCTAACCAAAAAGCAGCCCTTTGACTGAAACCTTAGTGGCTGAGTCATTTTTTAGTGAACCCTACAAGGTACTTCTTGTTGTCTAGGCATCTTTTTAAGGTCAAGCAAGGGGTACTAAAACTGAACACTTTGATAACTTGTGTTCATAAAAGGCAAGAGAACAGTGACTTCGTAATTATTCAAAGTCTGATGGCTAGTCAAAGCAGAAGTGGTTCAGTATGACACCGTCTGATTGGTAAAAAGTTTTTTTAAAAGGTGAGGGGTATGCATGTTGAAGGAATAACCAAGATTTCACAACCAGGCTAGACTTTCTTAATTTACTCCAGTCCAGGTTTGTTTTCCTCTATGTCAATGGATGAATTGTTCCTCACCACATGGTACACATGGTTCCCATTAAGTTTGTCTTTATCCAGATGTGTTTCATTTTTACCACTAAATCTTGAGTTTTGAAATTGCGGAGGCAGGTTGAAATGGGTAAAGAAAGTCTATTACCTGTGTGTTTATGGCAGTGTTTAAGGGTTTTTTTTTTTTTGGAAATCCTCAGCCCTGTTTGCACGTTCCTGTATTCTATTTTCAAAGACAGAAACAAAATCACAGTTGACCTTTATCAACATAACATCAACGGTGGGTGCTTTTTTTTTTCCCCTCTTGTACAAATGAAAATGCTACTCTTTCCCTTTTGATGTTTACCTAGTGAAGTGAAGTTGACAGTGGCCTCCTTCCTGTCTGATCGAATTGTGGATGAAATTCTGGATGCACTTTCCCACTGCCATCATAAACTGGTGAGTGCTGTAAACATCTTGAGTGGGAGCTCCTGTTTCTGTCTGCTGTGTTGCCAGGCAGCCTCCAGCATGGGGCTATGGTTTCTTCTCTGGATTTTACTCCTCCACAGCTTTCTGGGTTAAAATCCTACTACTCCGTTGCCTTCTTCATTGCTTCCAGTTGTTCTAGAATATGTTAGAAATTCTCCAGAGGGAATGACAGGGAGAAAGCAGAAGTCAGTGTCCAGAATTGTTGTCCACTTACAATGCAGGTCCAAAATTTTAATAGGAGATGATATTAGGACTGAGGTCTGAAATGGATTTTTTTTTTAACATTACAAGTGACCCTTGAACAAGGTGGGGGGCCAGGGGCAGGGACCCTCCCTGCAGTTGAAAAGCCACGTGTAACTTAGAATTAGCTCTCCCCATCTGAGGATTCAGCTCAGCTGGATCGTGTGGTGCTGCAGTATTTACTATTGAAAAAGATTCTCGTCCACATGGGCCCGCACAGTTCAAACCCATGTTCAAGACTCCGCTATATTTAATTTATCTGTGCTCATTTTGTTGTTCTCTGATATGATTATTTGATGATGGAGTATTCTTACAAATATGGGGGAAATGAAAGGTTTGGAGTCCAAAGAAAGTACAGGAGTAAAATGAACATATTGTGATTGATAGCCGTTGAGTGTTCAACCAGGCCTCTGGGATATAACCGAGGTGAAAAAAAAATGTTCTTCATCTAAAGACTGGTTCTACATCGAGATAGAAAACTTTATATCCAATATCAGTGCTTATGAAAAATATATCAAAAACTTCATGCTTCTAGAACTTCAGGAATTCCTCTGAGGCACAGATTAAGGTTTTACAACCGGCTATATCTTATGTCTCAGAAATGTTAGCAATATGATGCAGTAGGAATCTCCCAAACGAGTTAGGCAGCTTAACTGTGTAGGCTGGACCTAGCCAGTTTTACAGCCTTGAATTGTTGGGGGAGACTAGAGAACACCAAAACAGGAGGAAGAGCAAACAGCTTCTTCTGAGGAGGCAGACAAAAGAGTATTTGGAGAAATTCATTTGAGAAAAATGTAGGACTCTTCTCTCAAATCTAAAAGAAAAAGTAGACATCTCTAGCGCTGGTCCTCAAAGTATTGCCCATGGACTGGAGCTGGCTTCACTGATGAATGGTTACTAGTCCATGGGAAGGTAAATGTAGAAACTAAGTGGGACTGTGGAGAAAATTCTAGAAAAATTTGACATCGCAATAATATTGAAACACATTACTTAAAATTTTTTTCATTTCTACATTTTATCAATATATTGGTTTGTGGCAAATTGGAATTATAAAAAACTGGCTCATCACCACAGAGATTTTAAGAAGCACAAAACACAAGTTTGTAGTTCATGGCATAATAAAGAGCTACATCCTTGTTTAGAGGTCATAATTCAAACTTTTTTCTTAATAAGCAGAAACAAACTCAATAAAGCATCCTTTGTAGAAACAGTTTATTGTTGACCCACAGCCCCAGGGGCTGCCTCAGGATGCCTACTTGATGACACAGATACTGGATATTGTGCCAATATGACTGCACGTGGGAACTACACTGAAAGTTTGAATTTTTTCACTTTTTTTTTTTCTGCATTTGTCCTTCTTGGAAGAATCTGGTAACTCAGAGTATTGACATTTTCTTTTTATAAGTCCTTCATGGATATAAAAGAATTGTGTGAACTCACTTTTGTTTTCAATTTCTTATTGTTGATTTGGTAAGAGGAGAGCTTAACTGCTGTGTGAAAGAAATAGTATTTTCAAAATGAAACACTGTTTTCAGATACATTCCCATAACATGAATGTTTTCTCCAACTTAAGGTTAGAGATGTTCCCAAAGGTTCCGTGAAATTGTCAGTTGGTTCTCATCATTTCAGAGTTCCTGCTGATGGATCAACTCAGTACTAGAGCTTGTTAATTTCAGCCCAGTTTATTCTATCTCTTGCCATTTAATTTTTTAAGTTTACCTAAAGGATAACACTGGTAATTAATAAGCCATGTAAAATATGATATTTGTTATCTGAAAACAATAAAACAGTTAAATTAAAATTTTGTTAGCAATTTTGTTCCTTTCAGCCCTTTAAAAATAATAAAGGTTAGAGTAATTTTATTTCCCCTCATTAGATACTTTTGAGCACTAGATACAGAAAGAAATGAAGAGGAAATGTGAAGTAAAATTAACAAAAAGAACACTTACTTTCTTCTATACTAAATGGTCTCCTTTTTTACCTTGTGTAGTTACTTTTCTAGTTTAAATTTCCCTTATATTTCCGCCAGTAATGTTGGTGGCAACAACATCAGACTTCACTTACTTGTGAATTTACTCTTATCATGAGAGCAAATTGACTTGAACTGAATCTTTGTCCTAGTAACACTGTATAAATGAAGTGGCTTCTCGGTATAGAAGGTTGTAATGCCTCCTGATGGATATAATTTTGTGATTATATTTAAGATTCAAAGTTGAAAAAAATCACAGCAGATTCCTGAAAATGTTAATAGTCTTCTGGAGAAGAAAAATACATGCCTACTTTGTGCACATTTGCATGAACATGGCAAGGATTTATGAATTACCTATTTTTCAAAAAATAAAGTACCGAAGGTTGTTAAAAAATAGGTTTTGTAATTTCTTGTTTAAGATACTTTACCCTCCACAGAGAGATGATCAGAGAGGTAACTTACTCTAGCATAAATTTATTGTCATCCTGAACCTTGCAGACATAATCCTTCACGGCGCCCCCTTGTGGAAGGTATCTTCTGGATTTCAGCTGACCTGCTCTTCCCTTGCCTCTGTGCTTTCATTTCTCCTTGTATGTGTCTTGACTCTATAGGCTGACCATTTCAGCAGACGTGGCAAGACCCTTCCTCAACAAGAGTCCTTAGAGATCGAGCTGGCTGAGGAGAAGCCAGTTAAACGCTCCATCATCACGGTGGAGGAGCTCACAGAGATAGAGCGTCTGGAAGATCTGGATACTTGTATGGTAAGACACATCCTTTGGCAGCACTATTATCCCATTCACTGGATTTTTTTTTTAATTTAATCTCACCTTTACAAACCAGACCAGATAAAACTTCCCTGCAGAGACAATTCTTTCAGAAGCTTATTGCTGTACAGAGTCTGTTAATGAAGCTGATAAAGCTTAACCATCAGGTTCCCACTAAGGCCCTATAACTCATTTTTTACCTAAAATTTTGTTAAACTTTTCTTAGAGTACCCCCATCACCCCCTACCCCTGGAAAAAAAAATTATGAAAATTGCAGTGAACATAAAACTTGTCCTAAAGGGTTTTCGGGTTTTTTGGTTTTAAATCTCTTGCTTGTTCCTGTTTCATTTTCTTTTCACAGTTTTTGGGTATACTATTAGATGCCTATTTCCTGTTTAGTTCATACTCTCTTTCATTAACTTGACTTGATGTGCTTTAGAAGACGGAATATGGTGCATCCATGTGGTTGTCTATCTGGCCATAGAACTTCAGTATTCAGGTTGTTGATACTTCACTTTTCTGAGGACAATTTGGTGTCAGTTCTTATTTATTATTCTAAAATTTGTATTACTAGTGTTGTTACTTCTCATTTTACCATAAAAACAGTTGTATATACCTCTGTACAATATGTTTTCATCCTCTGTATTCAGTATTTTTATGTTTTACTGAAATAGTCATTTTTAATAATTTCTTATAATCTGAAAAAGGATGCTGGTGAGACTAGGTTTGGTCTACTTATATGTCTGGATGTTTCCACATTCACTTCTGATTTTAGTAATTTTTCAGTGCAGCCATTATGAAGGAATGGTACTTGTTTTAACTTTCAAAACCAAAGGTCTGATGTGACTGGTATTATTTTTCTAGCCTGCAAGAGAGTGTAATGCTTTAGTCAGTTCCTTATTTATAAACCATCATCTTTTAAAACCTGTGAATAAAACAGTAAAGTGCTCTCCAGATGAAACCCTATCATATACATGGAAACTAGCAAAGAAAGCATAAAATATATCCTAGATTTCAATAGTGTTCTAGTAAAACTAAAGATAATAATTTTCAGTATAACTATAAATCTGTAGATATATTTGGTCTATGTGGAGGGAATTATCAAGTTTTAAAGAACTTGCTTGTCCAGTATATTATAAAATGTATGTTTAATAAATATTTTAAATTTTGTTTACATTTTGAGGCAATAGACACTGTGTTATCATAGGGTAATTATTCTGGAAAGCTCTTAGGCTAACCCTAAAAAAAAAAGGAGTGATAAGTAAGAGATTGGAATTAAAAATTTAAAATTATATTCACATTTCCTGCCAGGATTATCTGGTTGTGTGTGAGTTGGAAAGGGGTATGGGAAACATGAGTTAGTAAAATGTGTCTTGTTTATGAGTTTTGTGGTTTTGGATGATAGAATGTTGGTTAAGAAAGACTGGCTTAGCTCCTGTAAATATGGATTTAAATTGTATAATCCTGGGGTTTTTTGTTTGATTGATTTGCTTTTTGTTACGTGAAAGAAAAAAAAATACAGTTGTCTCCTTAAATAAAGTGGGTGGGGTGAGGGTAGAAAAAAGAAATAATTTTTTAAAATTTACTTTTTATAGAGATATAACTAACATAGCATTGTGTTAGTTTTAGGTGTACAAGATAATGATTCAATATATGTATATATTGCAAAGTGATTACCACAGATTTAGTTCACATCATCACCACGTAGTTATAAGTTTTTTTTCCTTGTGAGATGAGAATCTTTATGATTACTCTCTTAGCAATTTTCAAGTAGGCAATACAGTGTTGTTAACTATAGGCACCATGCTGTACTTTACATGGCCAGGACTTATTATAACTGAAAGTTTGTACTTAAAAAAAAAAAAATGCAGATGCAGGACCACTTGGAGGACCAAGGGCAAACCTTGCTGCAGGCACACCTGGCCCTGAGCGGCTTTCATTTTGTAAAAACAACGCTTGTTGCCATGGCGCATCAAGAGGCGTGGGTAGATGGCGATCGCTCTGCGCTTCACTCTAAGGATGACCCAGGTTACATGGGCGGTCTTTTCCTGGTTCAGATGACTAGGGGTTAAGAGGTTAGGGCCATTCCTGACATGGGCACCTGTTGAATCCTAGGACCAGAATCAGGGCCTCTGGTGTCGAGTGAGTGTCTTGCTGAGATAAGACAGAGCTCTCTATAAAGGAAACACATACTTGGGCAGAATCGTTTAAGCCATGAAAATAGCTTTTTTTAGTTCTAAAAATTTTGTCTTTCATCATTGTTTTAATGAGGCTAATGAATTGTTAAGTAGCAGAAACCAGAGCCAAGTGTATTGTGAATTTAATGGAAAAGAACATTTTTGTGTAGAAAGTGCAAGTCAGTGGGTTTTGTGCTGTAATGATTTCCTCTATATTCCCAGCCTAACCATTGATTCTACGCCACCCAAACACAGCATCATTTACATGGTGACAGCTGCCCCAAGTGCAGGGATCCCTCTCCTAGAGAAAATCAATTTTCTAAGCTCTGGGCTTCTTACCCTAAGCTAGTGGTGCAAACTCACAGCTAATTGGAAAGGGGTAGAGCATTAGATTTACTGTTTAAATCACCTGCATTGCCACCTTTTGTAATCAAATTAGCAAGTCATTTTTGCTTCTCACTGATGTCTATTACCAAATATTTCAAGTTGTGATCCTCCTGTGGTTCCATTTTAAAAAACAACTTGAAGTACATATTTCAAAGAGAGAGACATTTGACTGGTGACGGTTTTCTAAATGAGCCTATTCATATTCTTGGGCAGCATTTAGATCTTATGTGATCCAGGAAGTTAGGACACAAGATACACCGTTGCATGGAAAATTCTCTGAAGCATCTAAGTACATGCATACAACCCTTCCCACATGGAATTATACGTCCCCGGCGGGTAGAAACTGTGCCACTCATGGGGCTAGAGCACCGCTGAATGTGACTGCTCTGGGAGATGCTACAACTTTATTACCTAAAATGTTTGCAGCCCACAGCCCTGAGATGCTCTCCCTAGGATATTCCAACGTAACTCAGACTCATCACTAACCTTCTACATGTAGATTCAAGATTGTTAACAGATGTGGTATCTTTTGTCTGTGATGTTCATGCTATCTACTCAATCTGGTTTTGAACATTTCTTTCGCACATTTAGTGGAGATTCTGGGCATCTCTTTTTTTCGTCTGTTCCAGGGGATACCTTTGTTTTCTTCCATTTCTTCCTGGTTCAAAATTCCACGTCAATGTCTCTTTAAAGAACCAACAGTTATAATTGCACTAGGGAAGGTTCAGGGCCATAAATTAAAGGTTGAAATATTTATCAGTTTGAATTTAAGAATCACCTTCATGGAGATGGAAACAGTAATCTATATGATTGATCTCTCAGAAGGAAATTCTTCTGCTACTCAACAGCTTGTAAACTTGCACTTTGGCTGAGTGAGGGCTGAAACAGGAGTGACTGAATGATTCGATGGGGCCTGTTACCTGCTGGGAGGTGACTGAGGGCTCCTAATTAACCTTAATTTCATAAAGTCGAAGAAAGGTGGTTTTCTTTAAACAAAATGATAGAAAGGGGAAACATTTTTAACAATTCTGTCTCTAGTCAATTATCTTTTTTTTTCCTTTTAACTAGAAAGAAACTAAGAGGTACTCTAGTTTACCTGGTAGAGAGAAGGGCCAAGTAGAACAAAAACTATTAGAATAACCTGCAGAGTTTGAACCTATATCCGGAGATTCTGATATCCTTTTAACTCCAGGGCTGGACAGCAGATGGTCTAAAGAGTCTTCTTATTTATTTAACACTTACGTAGCACCTATGACATGCTAGGCACTAGTCGAAGCTCATTATGAATAGTAACCAGTTTAATTCTCATGACAATCTATGAATAATATCTTCTATTTAACGAATGAGGAAACGGAGGCATGGAAAAGTTAAGTAACTTGGCTAAGGTTATCTAAGGTCATCCAGAGGCAGGCAGTTTGGTACTGCATATTTAACCAGTCTGCTGTAATCTGTATACTGATTTCAAATATGGTATATTTCTTATAGTCAGAATTAAATTTTGAGGTAGATTTGAATAGATTGCATTGCTTTATGCAAAATATCTACTTACTAATTCCACATTAAATTAATATGTGAGCAGAAACACAAGCAAAAAGTATTTGTTTAACCATAATATAAGCCTATAGTTTTTAAACATTTTCGGAAACAACTGTGTCAAAAATTAGATACACTTGATTGCTATCCATTTGTTAGAAATAAATCTGTCCACTTTTGGCTTACCTGGAGCATTCTGTACCTCTCCATATGTTATTTTGTTGCTGACAATGATTAATTAGCTTTCCTGTATACTTCTTATCATTTCAACACACACGCCTTGTATGGCATGCGGAAACGTGTACTTACTTAGTATCTTTATTGTCGTAGACCATCTGTTCTTTCCCTGCAATCAGGTGCTCTTAGGAAATCAGTATTCCCAACTCTCTCTTTCAACTTTGGTTCGTCATTGGCCCTGGGGGTATTAAAGTTGTCATTTTACTGATTGGTTATCATTACATATTTAATTTGTTGCTATATATAGTTTACTACCTTTAAAAAAATCGCAGAAGTTTGGGGTTTAGGATAATGTGCCAAGTGGGTGAAGAGCCTGTGTCTGCTCCTTACGCATAACTAGCTCACTAATTGTATGTAATTCTTTCAGTTATTTTAATGAGTGTCATACCAGTTTTAAATCAAAAGATATTCATGCAGAGGATCAGGTCATTTGCTTACTGCTATTTCCGAGGAAAAGAATTTTAAAAGGCTTGAATTATTACAGAATGCGTCTTGTGGATCCCTTCTCCAATGACTAAGTAACAATTATTTGCCCTTAAATTAAGCCTCACATTTTCCATATATAATTTTTAAGCTTTTTAATACAGATTAAAATTCAGTGATGATCCATTTGTCTTGGTCAAAATACTGTTTTATTTTTAAACAAATCACCTCATTTTCACC